CTCCAAACTACTTGATAAAATTATGAACCATAGAACTGAGATGCATCAATGCATGTCTACTGGTCATGTTAACAATATGTACCGTATAATACTGGCAAACGGAGAAATGGTAGATTGTAAATTTCTCAGTAAGAGACTCCGTGAATGCAAATTCGCAACCAAGATGAATGTTGAAAATGGATTGGAGTTATTCATTGGGCCAAAAGATTTAAGAAGAGTTTGGTTAAGGCAGCATTAATGGGGCTCTTAGAATGATCCTGGCTTTAGAAGGACCATAGGAAAAAAAACATAAAGAAAAGGAAATAATATTATTAATAAGATACAAAAGCATTGAACAACACGAATTAACCAGATAACAGATAACATCGGAGTAAGGAAATGCTGTAGGCAAGTACATAGAAATACATCTAGAGTCCATTACCTGCACTTGAGTGACACATTACCACTACAACCGAACCGGTAAGGCAATGTGAGTGTCTTGAAAATAAAATAGTTCTAGTTTAGATCACGGGATCATAGTGGTCAACCAATTAACAGAAAGGAGCAAGAGGAAGCCAAATTGTAATTCTTAAATCAATAATGAATATCCGGGGGTTGAATGGCATCGACAGTACAATCTGGTTTAACTGAATCCCTATTCCTTAGGCGTTCATAAAAGCCGGATGATGGGGTGGGGGGGAGTGATTGAAAGCGCACAAAGAGGAAAAGAACAATGTTCTCCGGAATCTGTTTGCCCCTGTTCCATTAAAAGACTCCGTGAGAAAAAGAGACTTTTCAGGATAGACTCTGCTCTAAATTTAAGACAAGGGGTCAAACAGATTAGCAATTCGAGAGACAACTGCCAAAAAAATGGTGTAAACCGCAAGAATTTCGAATAACCTAATAATGTATGAAATGTCAAAAAGTTATCGCCTTAGTAATTTACACAAAATAGGATAAAATTCAATTTAAGATCGATATAAACACGGAATTACCGGAGCGGAACAACAAGGCATCAGGATACGCAAATGAACAAAAAACGGTTGGGAGAATTTTACAATGTCACCGAAGTCTAGAATTGAAGTAAACAGTAACAGTTCATTGCACTAAAAGGATTTTATGGATGCACCCATTACCAACAAAATGTCGTGCTAAACAGAATTCCACTTGGAATAATCCAAAACAAGCCTTTTAACATGAAATAACTTGGCTATTTATCAAAACTAACTATATTTACCAACGTAGAAATCTCTTTTAGAAATTGATCAAGTAATAGTACCCAGTTGACGCGCGAATTTGAACTTTCTTTAAGACATTCTATTTCGACCATGACCTTGGAGATCGCGTGTCTCCCATTCCCATCAAAAAACAGGCGCATTCGGCTTTCAGGTGTCAACCGAGCTGACATTATTCCTTGTATCACCAAATTGGCTCCAGTTACTCTAAAATATATTTGCCTCCTTATATAAGCAAGCCTGTCTATTGTCAACTGTAACCACCTCCACTACACATACACAACTCGTAATTCTTGGACATCATTCGATAAACGCTTCATTTTTCCCCACATTCCATTCTCAAGATGAGGAAAGAAGGTATAGCCTTCAAAAGAGTTAGAGGGAATTCAGATACCTTAGCTTCCAGGCCTATCCTTCTAAATATGGTCGATATAGACCAGGTAATCACCAAAAGATTTTTGATCAAGCAAAATGGGCGCAGTGATCAACATGAATATCTAGTTGTGTGGGCGAGCAGCCACATTGGTTAATTCTGGCAAATCAGAGGGAGGGTAGAATGCGCGTTGCTCACAATATCTTCAAACAATCGAGTCCTGCAAACATTGGAAGTACTTACTGATAAGCAACGAGTGAAAGATATCAACCAACAATGTCAACCTGTCCATTGAAAGATTCTAACGACAACAACGTAATGGTCATCTGAAGATCTAATAATTTCGCTTTAGGTTAATAAAGTGAAATGACATCCTATGCACCTTAAGAATGTGATTATCCACGCATAGGCAAGTTTGTTTAACATTACAATTTATTCACCCCATCATTTTCAATCATTTTGTAATACCAGAAAAAGAGAAGTACGCTATTTTTAAGTTCAATAAGGTAAATAAAGCAAAAAAACGGTTAAGTAACCAATGACTTACAACCGTTGAATTTCAATGAAATTGTCATCTTCCGTAGGATGAAGGTAGTGTTTCTCCAACCTCGATACACATCTTTGATGGAAAGTCAGACCACAAGTCTTGCAAGTGACACCAAAGAAGACAAACTTCAGACAATCCGAGCAGACTTGAGTTTCAAAGAATCGTCGACGCTGGAACTCATGCTTGGGGCGTCGATGGGTCTGTTCATCGTTGAATTCGATAACCAAATCACCCGATACTAGAGCCACTCCCGCAGCATCAGCATCCCACATCACGAGATTTCCCGAACCCTCACTGTAAGCCGAGAGGTCCTCAATTCGATAGCGCCGGTGAGAGAGCTTTTTCTCAAGAACTTGGCGAATAGTCTGTCCAGGACGAACTTCAACAACCGTGAATTGGTTGTCAGGAAGATGAGCTCGTAGTTGACACTTGTGAAATGGGAGTCGATATTTCGGAGGAGTGAGAGTGGAAATTGAATCGTTATTGATTGAATTATTAGCGCAAGATTTGTTTCTCGAAGATGAGGCCATAATATTCTCGCTTTTATACTTTTCAATAGTGGCTTCCAGTTCTTCTAATTCTATAGAATATTTCACTATAATGGCTTGAACTGAGTTGATGTCATTTGAAACTTCATCGTATTCGCGCAGGAATATACCAGAGTGATCCTCCATTTTCTTTATTAACTCTAGAAGCTGAGTGGCTTTATTCTGCATAACACTACTGATGAGAATAAAATGAGCGATCTATAGAATAAAAAATTAAAAACAGAACGACGTTTAAAATAGGAAATAAAGCCTAAATAAGAACTAACCTTCGTCTTCAATTCTTCACGATCCTTCTCCCAAGCAAGAAGATTATTACTGGAATTTCGCCTATTCATTACTTAATATAGTAATACGAGAATGTTCACGACAAAGATAAAATCGCACGAGATCATCCCCGGAAAAGTGGCATAAAAACCGCTAAAAATGTTACAGTTTGCAATAAAAGTGATTGTTAAATAAGGAAATCAATACAAGAGTCAGAAGTAGGACGCATAGAAACACACTGTTAGGAAAACATAAAATAAAATGAGAAGAAGCGACACTCTAGGATTAACCACAGATTCAATCCAGTTTAATAATTATAGTTGTCTTTAATCAAATGCAATAAAGAATTATGCTAAATTGTAGAAAATAAAGACATATGTAATGCACAACTCACTAAGTGCCAGCGCCCACAGACGACCTTCAATCGATATGGCCGCCTTTATACAGTTAGTATTTGGCACAACTAAATGCTTTGATTTATCTTTAGCTAAATAGCAATGATAAATAGTTGAATTTCATCTTTCAAAGGTAATCTACAACTTAAAATAAATATTGCTTATTCTTCACTACATTTCAACATCACATAGCCGATGGACACATTGGTTTGATTACGTTTAACAAGTAAGGCTATAACTGGAGTAATATAGCTTAATATGGATTAAAATTTCTTAGAGTATCCACAATTAATTTCAAATTTAATTTGTAACAGTGAATACACTTGATTTTTAATACATCAAATAAAGCGGATCTATCTTCCTGAAAACGGCGCTTGTCTTAGTCTCAGCAGTCTAACGAGCAGAAGCAAGTACAAATAGTCTTTAACAGATTCCTAAACCAATAATTGGAGTCAAAATCAAGTAGGTTTTTGCCCAAATTACTGATGTCACTGAATTTCTTCATTACAATTCATTTAGCATTCGACGGCGATTTAAATTGCCTACACTCAGTAAAGAATAGTAGGTATTACGGCAGCAGCATAGTGGCTACTGAGTGAATCACTCATGACCTGCTGTAATAATTGCAACAGAAACTTAGCCGTGCTCTTGACAATCTTGACCACTAGCAAGTGAATGGATACATATATCTCACATATCTTTCTCTAATCTATATTTCTTAATAATATATAAATGAATCGACATGAACTGCGTTTTGCAAAATATAGTCCACTACTAAATTAGATCTCAATTTGAGATAAATGATATCAAACAATAAATGCTCGTGCAAAGTGATACAAGGGTATTGATAGGTAAAAATATAATCAGTAACAATTCCTGAAATGTCTAGATTTTACCAAAGTAGACTACTTTTCATTTTGACCCAATTGGTATAAAACTAAAAATTCCTTGATAACAGCTCAATGTCAAATTTTTTGTTACTCTTGAATCTTTATCCCCTAATGTATATCTTTTCGTTATTTTTTTGGGGTCAGTTGTTAACAACCACTTGACCGGATACAGAACCTCAATTCTTCTAAGCCTTAAATAAAATCCTTTCTTTATGCTCTAAATCTAGGTGCAGTTTGACCACTTAAGTAGCATCTGATGTGACATCTTAGTGATCTACGGGGCTCTCTTTACTCAATGTTCTGAGAAAAACTTACTGTTGAAATTAACAAAAAACCATATACCCCATATTCTTTTCTAACTTCCAGAACCTAGTCACCAAAAAATTACTAATATATTCCAAAACTAATGTTGAACCAATCAAAACTGAAATCGTCTCTGTGTTGCGTCTCTTCCATCCTCTGATTGAAACTCACTATTGTTTAACGTTTCATTCAATTTTTAGTGAACACAACTTCCACTGTCCTATATTTCTGATGAGACACCCGACTTCAAGTCAAATTAATCCAATCATTTAACACATAATTAGCTGAACCATCTGACCTTGCAATCCAAATTATTTATGGTTGATAGTGCCAATTGTTGAGTAAACTTTTCAAACTAAACCAAGTGAAAATTATAAACTTACACACCTAATATCCAACTCAGTATTTATATGCTTTTTATTTATTCTACTTTTAACTGTACTGATAATCTCTAAGACTTTCTCCCTTGATTTATAAGAGGATTTTATTAATTCTATGTTACGCGCGGCCATTTCTATATCAACTCAATAAATCATATTAATTCCTTTCCCATTATACTAACTTTGGGTAGGATGCGATTTACTATTATAAGTCATGGATTAGGATTTCCGATTTTTATCGCGAGTATTCTAGATGCCAGCAGAAAAAAATAAGAAAATGTTACGCACTCCCCATTATTGATCCATTAAAGGCAACTGGGGATTCAAGGAAAATCTAGCAAATTTAAATTTAAATTTTTCTTCTTTTCTGATTGTTCAACACATCATTTTCCACTTTTTGGAGAGCTCTACTTATTTTTCTGCTCTTATATCTGTCTATTACTCGAAGTATGAAAATATTAATAAAAATGCTCAAATTTGATCGGTATGTGTTAAATATTTCCTAAGTGAAAATTCATGATCAAATTAACTAAATTATAATTGATGAATAATAAATCAATTTCACTGAATAAAAAGGAGAGAAGTCTCTTTTGACACGATTACACGAATTTATTATTGTTTTAAAAGGTTTAGTAATAATGACATTTTATGAGCTAAAATGCACTTAAGCATACCGCGGTAATTAACATGCACATTTGTAGTCTGACGCCTCATCCAAGATGATTTTGGTACATATGAAATTATTGGAACTGCAAAATTCACTATCCATATCTGGTTAATAAGATGAAATGTAATGCACGCAATTAACCAAATGAAAAATTAAAGTTTATTGTTCATGAGATGAGATGGTTGTGCCCAATCAATTGTCTCAAAATCTCTTTGTCTTACAATCATGGAGTGCGCGATAGACTTACCTTCACGTGGTACACCTGATCAACGGATACTCATACGACAAATGTCTATAAACCAGTAGCTTATCCCTATCTTCAAACTACCATTACCCTACTGTTTATCAAATTCGACCACTTTCGCAGTACTCACCCTACCTTACCATACCTTTATCTCTACCTTGTATCTGTCGGTCTCCTGTACATCTGCCAATCACTCTTCTGTTTTCACTAGAAATGGAAATTCAAAATGAATTAATAAATAAAGAAAATATTTATTTCGGATATGATAAATGCGTAATGACTCTGGTCGTTGATTGGTCGAGAGGCCTCTATAGTGGGGACCTTATTTGCTCCTGGGCAAAATGCGCTTCCTAGCCCAACCTCGATTTAGGGCTTCTATGTTAATAATGCAGCAAATAAGTATGAAAATATTTAGGCTTTGAAAGTTAGCTTACAGTATATTTTTTACTTGTTTAAATAATCCTGCCTTATATACACTTTAATTATTTTTTTTTAAGAAAATTGCAGTGTTCAATATATTACCTACAGATTAACCAACAGGAAAAATCCACCATAAGAAGAGACAGGTGATTTTAAAGTAATAGACTTATCGATTTAGTCAGGGCGAGATTAAAGTAATTCCTATTTTGAATTCTTGTATCAAAAAATGCGAAAAATCAATCGAATAAAATTTATTGGCCTCATGATTTGCATTTACTAGGTAGATTTCTTCAAAATTTGGTCCACTGTTATATACGCTAAACTTTTCAGTCAAAATACTTTTACCATAATGCATTTAGTCAAATACGGCAATTGTGCTGCTCACATTCAATTAGTCCCTCTACTTTCGTGAAAATGAAACGAAATCGCAGTAAGTGAAGAAAATGAGACTATTTGCCGAATAGATTATCTGCCATTAATTACTTAACACCTTTTTCTGGACGGAATTTTTTTCCTATACTTATCAATAACGAATTCTGAAATAATAAAACAATACTAAATAAGTAAAAATGGAACAATTTGAGGGGTTACGATAGACCGATTGGATAATTTCATAAGTTTTAAATATTTTCTAATTTATGTTATTTGATAGAAATTTTCTTTCTGAAGATGAAAGAAAATGACACGACTTGGTGTTTTAATTATATATGATATGGATATTAATAGATCTCGTGCTAATGGAAAAGTAATAAAATAAAAAAGAGTCATTTTTCGCTAAGCTTCAACTTGTGTTGATAATTTTTAATCATTTATCAGAATTGATATTTACGATTCAGTAGCTACTTTTCTGACTTATGGATTACATTCAGTCTACTTTCTTCAACACTAGAGAACTATTCAACTACCTGTTGAATAGCAATAACAATAAATTTTTCGTCCGATCCAAGTAGAATTAGAGATTGGAGCTTTAGTGATTGACTTACGTCTGCTTTAATATTTGTCTGACCAACTAAATGATCGGAATTACATAACGAACTGGCCATTCCCGATCAACCTTCTTAAAAAACATTCGAGAAACAAATAATTCAAAATATCCTTTATGAATTACACAGAGGAACAAACTATATACTGCTAATATTTAAGATGCATTTTGTTGTACATATGAGTATAGTAATTTTACAATTTCAACAAATAAAATAGACCATATTGCAAAGGATATTAATTAAAATAGCAATAAAATTATTTGCTAATCAATTGGTATTCAGTCTTTCTTTCACATATAAATAATTTATAAATGGTTTTAGCTACAGAAATGGGGTAAACTTTTTGTTTTATTCTAGATATATAAAACCAATTTTGAGAATATGATTGATCGCTTTATTACCGGTTTAAATTCGTTTTAATATGTAAAATATGCTTGGTTTTCATCTTTATCTTGTTTGTTTAAAATGACGGTAAATATTTATTATATGAAATTAGTATGTTAGCGTCCAATCAGCGATTTGATCGTTTTGTTTCGTAGAAGCCATATTTGTCGGAAAAATTGCGCTATTATAGGGACAAATACAAATTGGTCTATGCAAATAAATGAGGGTTTTGCACAATGTGAGCGCGAATTAAGCTGAAATTTCATGCAAACTTGTGGATCCATCACTTATTTTATCCCTGTATTGCTCCTTTTTGCACGTTTTTAAATTTTCATTGCCTGTCTAGTTTTTCGGAGTTGTCACATGAATGTGCACATGTTTTTTCATTGTAAATGTAAAAAATTTTGAAAGTTATCGGTGGTGCATGTCTCAATAATTATTTCATTGAATTTTATTTATTTTTACATTTTAGCAGTTTAATGGATAAGGAATCACATCCGGATTTGTCACATGCAAATTTGAGCTATCAAAACAATAATTTTAGTCACTCGAATTCTCTAACAAATTATCAAAACTCTACAGATCGTTCACATCTCCAGCAACAGTATAGCGGCAATTCCTCCCAGCAAGTGCATCACGTTTTATCATCTCAGATACCAGACAATTCTCGTTGTTCATCTGAGGGTTCTGGTGTTCCCATCGTTCCTGGATCCTCTGCTCTAAGTCCTCGACCTGCCCCAAGCCAGGGCGCCGTGTATATGACTGCCCAGTCTTCACAAGGCTTAAATACATACCCAGAAGCAAATAAGCCACCAAATCAGAGTTTTTATGGTTTGAGCGGATCCACCGGTCCCTCAAATCAAGGAGTTGCTTATGTTTCTCAGACAAATCTTCAAAGTACCTCTTCGGCTGGTCCTGGCTTTAGTGCTGCTCCCGGTTATCACGCTCCAATGACGAATTCAACTGTACAGAATACTTCCTCAGGATCTTCATCTGCCACTGACCTTGAAAAACGACAGTTAATACAACAGCAACTCTTATTATTACTTCACGCTCAATGTTGTCGTCAAGAGCAAACGCATGCAACACCCTGCAATACACCCCATTGTCGCACTATGCGAAATGTCCTCCAGCACATGAAAAATTGCACTGAGGGGAAGAATTGTCGTAAACCTCATTGTGCTTCTTCTCGACAAATAATTTCCCACTGGAAAAATTGCAGCAGCCGAGAATGTCCTGTTTGTGGTCCCTTAAGGCGAAGTCATCAGCAAAGGGCGATGGCCGCCGCCGCAACCGTAAATCAACGCCCTCCTGGAGTTGGCCAAAGTGGTGCTCAAGTCTTACCTTCTACTTCTCAACCACCATGTGGTGAAATGAATGGTATATCTACTCCTATGGGTCAACCTCAACATGCTATTCGTTCTCCTATTCCACAGAACGTAAGGAGGTCTATACCGGCGCCTCCTACAACTTCCACACCTCAGGTCAAATCCAGTATTCAATCTCCATTCTCTCAACAGCCGCCAGTTCCTAATTCTGCTATTACCCCCTCTACTACACAGGCGCAAGGTAGTGGGAGTGGTGGTGGTGGTGGAGAGGGTAGTGAACAAGCCGATTGGCGAGCGGGAATTAATTCGGAGCACCGAGATCATGTAGTTCGCAGAATGTAAGTTGTTTTTTCCTTAATGCGTTATTTTTAGTGTGAAATATATTCTACCTCAACCGGATCCTGCAGCCTACAGTGATCCTAGGATGACAAATTTGATAGAATACGCAAAAAAAGTGGAAAGTGCGACTTATAATACAGCTAACAGTAGGCCGGAGTACTTTCAGCTCCTCTCAGAGAGGTGCTACAAGATTTACAAGGAGTTAGAGGAAGCGCGGAGAAGACGGAGAAATGCAGCAACGTCTGGAAATGGATCTACTTTGATTTCCGCTAATGATTCAACTACATCAGCGCCTAATATTTCTGCAAATTCCGTTGACTCCACTGGTGGTGGAATGACTCAAAATCTCGGCTCTGTTGTTTCAAGCGGTGGTGCTTGTTCATCAACCATGGATTTTAGACAGGAGCAAGAGAGCTTTGGAGCCGTCAAAAAGGATGAGGATATTAAACCACCTTCAGCCTCGTCCTTCATAACCGATTCAAATAAGTTATCAACTTCCTCTTTGCCAAAAGATGTGAAGAAGGTGAAAGCTGAGGATTCTATCGGATCTATTGCCACAAGTAGTACATCAATAAATGCAACTTCCTTTAGTGAGAGTGCCAAAGTCGATGAATCCAAATGGAAGAAGTGGTCTAGGGAGGAGCTTCTTAGAAACCTTTTGTGCCTCTATGAGGAAGTGTATGCCGACAAGAATGCGGAGTGGTTTCGTGACCCTGTTGACCCTGTCGCCTTGAATATACCCGATTATCCGGAGGTTATTGAACACCCTATGGATTTATCTACAATTAGAAATAATCTTGAAGATGGCGTCTACAAAGATCCATGGGAAGTATTGAATGATTTTCGTCTGATGTTTAACAATGCGTGGCTGTACAATAAGAAAAATTCGAAGGTTTACAAAATGTGTACTAAGGTAAGATTTGTATTTCTTTACTTTCCACTTCTCTTTAGTTGTCTGAATTGTTTGAGAGTCGAGTGGATCAAGTTATGCAAGCGATGGGATTTTGTTGCGGACACGAGTATTCCTATCAGCAAATACTCTATTGTAGTTCAGCTAATGTTTGTACAATTGGTAAAGACGCTTTCTATTACATGTACACCAATACGTAAGTTGGTTGTTATTTCTTCATTCTGTGTGTAGTGACAAGAGCGTTCTTATCTGTGATACGTACTATCAATGCGAAAAGTGTTTCAATGATGCAGGAGATGAGATTTTACTTGCAGATGAAGTTAATCAAGCCCCTGTGTAGGCTGCCACTTTTGGTTTAATGCTTCTTCTTTTGTAGTCCTGTAAGGAAAGAACTCTTTGAACGGAAGAAGAATAATGTGACCATCGAAGAAGCCATAGTTTATTGCAAGGAATGTGGTCGTCGCTGGCACAAAGTTTGTGCGCTACATATGGACGAAATTTGGCCAAATGGATTTGTTTGCCCTGGCTGTCTGCGCGAGCATGGACAGAGGCGAAAGGAAAATCGTTTTACTGCCAAAAATTTGCCTACAAATAAATTGAGCAACTTTCTTGAGCGGAGAGTTAATGATTTCTTGAAAAAGAAGGAAGTCGGTTCACGGGATGTTACCATTCGTGTTCTAGCCAGTTCAGATAAGACAGTTGAGGTAAAACCACTCATGCGAAATCGTTTTACCGAAAGTGGAGAACTATCTGAAAGCTTCCCTTATCGTCTAAAGGCCATCTTCGCATTTCAAGAGATTGATGGCCAAGATGTTTGTTTTTTTGGCTTATATATACAGGAGTATGGTTCAGAGTCGCCTCAACCAAATCGAAGGCGCGTATATGTAGCTTACCTTGATTCCGTCTTCTACTTTCGTCCCAAACAATATCGAACGGATGTATATCATGAAATTCTAGTGGGGTATTTGCATTACGCTAAACAATTGGGCTACACAATGGCGCACATTTGGGCTTGTCCACCAGCAGAAGGGGATGATTATATCTTCCACATGCACCCTGTCGAACAGCGGATACCTAAAGCTAAACGCCTGCAAGACTGGTATAAGAGAATGCTCCAAAAGGCAATGATTGAAGGAATTGTAGCTGACTTTAAGGATATACTCAAGGACGCTATTGATCATCATCTTGTCTCCCCTACTGAGATACCATATTTCGAGGGTGATTTCTGGCCTAATACCTTGGAAGAAATCTTACAGGTTTGTTTATTTGTGCTTTGGCTGCTTGTCTCTGTGTCTACTTGTCTGTCATTCACGTTTCTTTTTATTTTTTAGGATTTAGACAAAGAGGAAGAGCGCCGACGGCGTGAAGAGGCTCTTGCAGAAACGGAGGATGATGAAGACGGATCACGCGATCGAGATGGTTCCCATGGGGATTTAGACAAGCGTTCTGGCAAAAAGAAGGCAAAGAAGCGAAAGTTCAGTAAAAAGTCTGGAAGTTCAATGGCTAAGAGGAAAAAAATAGATGGACCTGTGGATTGCAATACTGAGCTTACTCGAAAAGTCTATGACACGATGGAGAAATTAAAGGAAATTTTCTTTGTAATTCGGCTGCATAAACACGCTACTACAGCTTCTCTCCCGCCAATTTCAGATCCGGACGCCCTAATTGCTAGTGAATTAATGGATAGTCGAGACTCCTTCTTGCAAATGGCCCGAGAGAAACATCTGGAGTTTTCGTCTCTTCGACGGGCTAAATACTCTACTCTCGTCATGCTGTATGAACTCCATAATGAGGGCAAACAGAGCTTCCTATATACTTGCAATGTGTGCAGAGATCAAATTGAGACACGTTGGCATTGCAATGAGTGTGATGAATATGATCTGTGTAATCGTTGCTATAAGACTGAAAATCATCCTCATCCTATGGAGCAGTATGGTTTGGGTATTGAGGAGGAAGGCTCTAATAGTAATGGTGAATCTGGATCAGATCGTCCTTCTGGTACTGCAGAGAGAAGACCTAACTTCCTCGCTTGTATCGCAGCGCTTATTCACGCTAATATGTGTCGCGATGCTAACTGTCGCAATCCTTCTTGTATCCAGATGAAGAAGGTCCTGTCCCATTTGCGATCCTGTCCTAAACGATCGAGTGGTACTTGTCCATTGTGTCGTCAACTCATTAGCATGTGCTGCATGCATGCCAAGTCCTGTACCAAAGATCAATGTCAGGTGCCGCTGTGTCCACAACTAAAGGATAGGCTTCGTCAGCAACAATTGCAAAAAAGGCGTCAGCAAAACAAATCTCTTCAGAGAAGAACGAATCTCACGCGCGGTGCTACTACTGCTGATGTGTCGACAGTTCCTACCTCTCATCATCCGCAGTATGGTGGCCAAACCAGTGCTGCATCAGCGTCTTCAGCTAACCCAGATATTTCTTCACCCATGTCCAGAAACTCCTCATTTAGCAGTTCTTCGAATGTTAGTCGAGTGGGCAGCATGCAGAACATGTCCCTTAATGGCGGTCCTATGAGTGTACCTGCGGCTGCTCCACGAGCTTTACCTACATCCACTTTCCCTTCTTCCCAAGGCCAACAGCAAACAAGGTTGCCTGTTGCACAAGGTACATGGTCAGACTCACCTTTGAATAATCAGTCGGGCATGTCTACTCCTCAATCTAATTCGAATTTCCGGTCTGCTAACAATGCGGTCCTGGTAACTCAACAAGAGGTGGTTCCTACTCAACAGCAATTGAATAATGTCAGACGAGTGCTGGATGTCATCCGTGGTACCCCGGCTTCTCAAGAGGAGCAAAATAGACAGGTAATTTGCTACTTCTTTTTATTTCTCTGTAAAACATTATCCTATGCCTGTTTTTTTTTGTTTTTTTAGTTTATGGCTTGGCTTAGCCGTCATCCCGACTACAGGCCGGCTTATGAAACACTGCGCAATCGTGGTAGGCAAGCTGCAGCAAATCAACAGAGGTTGGCTGCCGCTCAACAAGCTAATGTCGCTAACCTTGTTCGAACACCACATCCGCAGACAGTGGTTCAGTCATCGTCACCTGCAGTACTGTCTTACAGTATAAATGTGGATTCAACAACCCCCATTATCTCGTCCCAACAACAACCGAGACAGGTGATCGCTGCTGGTGGTGTGAGTCAACGTCAATTTACCCCACAGCAACAGTTTGCACAGCAAATAACTGACCAGCAACAACAGCAGCAGCAATATGTCATTAATCAGTCCATGCGGGTTCGAACCTTGGCTAGTGGTGGTGTTCAACAGCAGCAGAACCAACATCCTGTTGATCAGCCCCAACAACAGCAGCAGAGGTTCACCAACTTGGTTCGCCCGTGGCCTGGTAGTCAACAGCAGTCGCAGCAGATGTATTCAAACAATAGTCCGGGTGGTGGGGTACAGTCCTCGACAGTTTGCACAGGAGGGAATAGTGGCAGCACAGCACTTCTAACCACTGTTGGTGGAGGCTCCCAACAACAACAAAATCAGCATCATCCCCAACAGCAAGTAATATCTCAATCGCGAATTCTTACTGGAGGCCAAAGAGTTATTGGTGGTCAACCTACCGCTGCTGTTGTTCATCTCCGAACAACTGCCCCCCAACAACAGCCACAGCATGTTCTAGTGACGAATCCTGTTACATCGGCAAATACCTCTCAACAGCGTCCAGTTGTGACGATGATGCAGCAGCAGCAGCAGCCCCCGTCCTCTCAGAACCCGCCGCAGCAGCCACCTTCCTCAAATAACCCCCCGGGCTCGTGATTTTACCTCTCCCTCTCCTGAATATATATATGCGTATTTGCGTGGTTCTCTCAATCTGTGTGTCTCCTCCCTCTCTCCATCCATTGCATTTCTCTTTTGCTTTTGTTAATGCCACGCATGTCTGCTGAACACATGGTCGATATAGGGCTCGCTGTCTATCCTACTTTTTTACCTATTCGTATCCTGAAATCATGAATCCATTTGGGAGTTTCCCTACTCTCGATCTTCCTCCACTTCCTTACTCAGCCAGTCAGCGATACGCACAGCCCGTGTTCAGTCATCATCTCTTTTATCTCGCTAAAACTGATAAAGACAGTGTCTATCTCTACCAACTTGTACATGTTACCTCCTCTTTACTGTGTAATAGTCTCAAGACAGTGCTTGTGTGCTGTAATAAGCTCTCCCTTTTACAGCACTGTTTTCCTTCCAATATATGATACGTGTATATATAAAGGTTTCCTTTTGTGTCTTCCCATTGTCCATCTTAATGTCTCCTTTTCTCGAGGATTATTCGATATGAAAATGGTAGGGTGACTTGCATCTCAAACTATAACTACGCCCCTTTTATCAGCAGAATTGGTTCCAATGCAAGCAAGACCATTAGATTGGCCCTTTTTCCTGCCCTCTGAAACGACTATCAGGAAATTGTGGGTCCTTCTCCACGGTGTTTGTGCCGGCCGGGACTTCGCGGCCGTACTTCTACGGAGTAAGAAAATACCGGTAGCAAGATTTTGACTCTTATTTGTACGCTTCGCTTTAAGTTCAATTTTGTTAATAAAATTAGGCTGCTGGTTTGTAATATGCTGGTTTCTTGCGGATTCTTGGGATGTTAGTTGGGTTTTCAAATGAGTAAGCAGGCTCAGATGTGTCCTAATGTAGAAATTAGGGTTCTGCGAATTAAGATTCAATACTATTCTTCAGCTAGTAATTTTCTAGTTTGTAAGACAGGTGATGGGAAGTGCTGTGCATGCTTGCACTGAAACGTGAAGTAGTCGAGAAAATTGATTTACTATTTTGAGATTCGCTCATGCCTTAATTTCGATAATGGAGCTTAGGTGAGTACTCCTAAGGCCTTGATATATGTCTCCACAACAGGTTCCCCTACGGTTATGCTGCTTTCTCCAAGTTAGTGTTTATCACTCTCCTAAACGTCCAGCAAAGGACCACCAAGTGAATTAGGAAGTCCAGTTAAGTAAATAGCTAATGAATTTGAGAAGTGGAATATGAAAGAATAAAAAATAATGTTGATAATGAAAAGAATCATTGGCTGTTAAGATGATTTACAGACTTATATAGCAGAAGGCAAGAAAATGTTCAAGGACTAAGTGTTGGAGGCACTAAATATAAAGGGACGAGGAGAAAGACACCAAAATACAGGATTACTATCGATAGGCCCTTATTACGATTGATCAGAGGTAGTGGGGGGGGGGGGGGGAAGGGAGAGGGGTCTATAAAATAGAAAGAGGAAGAAACTGGCTGAAGGACCTGATTGGAGGAGTTAATCGGCTGGTTTTGAAGAGGAGTGAGCCGTTTAGTTGGGCGTCAGTAATTGGGGAACTATGGAGTTGGATCAGAAGAAGATTCTACTAATGTACGTTTATATGTAATTGAAATAATTAAAGGAATTTATTTGAAAGTAAGTTGGGAATAATCACACGGAGATAAGGGAATTAAAAAAAATGGAGAACTGCTTTCTAGCTATTATTTATATCTTCACATGCGTTTCGAAAGACGGGTCGATGCAGACGAGCTGATAAGGTCTAGTTGATAGATGGCAGTTCAGCTTTAGGAAATTCCGGAAAGTAAGTTGCTAATGAAAGTTAAACAGCAAAGTTGGGTGTTTCAAATGTATAAGCAATAACTCTTGAATCTCTGGTTCTTCTATGAAAGCTTACTGCAAAAGTAGACTTAATCTTTGAGCAACTCATACGTCTATTGAATTCTCAATTACCAAGACTAGAACAATCCAGAATTTATCGCTTGGTGACAAATTAAATTCAAAAGGTGAAAAAAACGCCAAGTTTTCCTCCAGGATGCCCATTGGCAACAAGGTGCATGAGGATGGAAGGCCTTTATGAATTGGCTAACAACTGTTCCATCCCTCTACCAACTGACGGAGTTTTCGCTCTTTGGTTGGCAGTCTTAACACTTGCATGAAAAGAGGCTGGTAGCGAAACCGCATAGAGCCAAGGCATTCAAACCTTCATCTTGACGATGATAAGGAAACGGCATGAAAAGAAAGTAAAGTTGCTAATAGCCTGGTCGTTTTGGAGATCAGATGTAGTAACGTTTCCCTTTTTTTTGGCTTAACTCTACCCTAACTCCTTGTATCTACAGTCTCCTTATTATATGGTATCCTCGATTAAAATATACACAATTTTTTACCTCATCGTAATTATCCGTTAGGGGGGGGGGGGGAGGAGTATGGGGTCTAATTTGGTTCGTATTACCTATAAATCTTAGGACACACCGTTCATAGTGGTCGTATGAAAAATGACTTTTATTCATGCGATTTGAAGTGCCTTTTTGTTCTTCTGTTACTATCGGAAACTTAGAACTGCTTAATTATAAAACATAAGGATGTGCGATAGACTTACCTCCACGTTGTGCACCCTGGGCAACGTATACTTATACGGCAATAACGTGGTGCACCCTGGGCAACGCATACTCATACGGCAAAATAAGTCTAATGATCGGCTTCTGACTTCAAAC